TCTGTTCCTTTTTTATTCTATCTTCTATCTTCTATGTTCTCCAGGCTAGGCTGCTGAAGTTGATATGCTCTTACTTGACAAAAAAGTTTTTCGGCCTTTATTTCAAACTTTGTTTCTTTCAACCCTTGTTCTATCTCATCCATGTCCAAGTCATCCCAGTATGCAGAGTCTTTATTCTTGAAATCATCATATTCATCGATGAGGTTTTCTGCTTCATACCGGGTATGAACTCGATGGGCTGAAATTTGGTCCAAAGATCGAGTGGTGGCCACAGAAATTTGATGCCAATCAAGAAGCAGTGAGAGTTGGTCTAAAAACATCTGGAGTTCTGCTTGGGCGATGGGGTTGAGGACATGACCCCGGGTCATAACATCACAAGCCCATCGAAAGTTCTTAAGAAAAACATCATCTTCGAGAACATTTAAGGGCAAGTGAGAAAAGGCCGCAAGTAGAAGTTGAGCTTGATATCGCTGAAATTTAATAGGGTGAGATAGAGAGCTATAGGAGGGAATAAACTGGTCCTCAAAGAGAGTAAGTCTCAGTTCCTCCATCCAGTGAGGGTTTTGCGAAAAAGGAGGTGCATGAATTTCCATCTCGAAAGAATGAGGGAATTGGAGGTTGCTACAATATCAAGCCAGTCAGAAGAACAAAGTTTTGCCTTCTGGGCTAAGAATGATGGACTATACCTTTGAGCCTCTTTTGGACGACGAGTGGCTTGTACTATCTTCGTAGGCATGGAAGATATGTACCATGCTACAAGTAGGTTGTCTTCTAAACGGCGTCGGTGGTCGATGGGTGCATATGGGTAAACCACCGAACTCCGAGCAAAGGGAGGGAAAGTTAAAGGATTAACAAATTCGACAAAATGATGATTGATTCACTCTCTTAACTTGGACTCCTCAGGTTCTGGCCAGCTACTCCAACCAGAAGCCCCAAAAGAAGAAGAAATTACAGCCTCATCCCACGCAAAAGGTTTTGGGTCAGAAGAAGAGCTTCCAATATCCATATTTGCAAAATTTTGGGTTAAAGAATTATGGACAATAGGTTCGTAATCCAAAGGTTGATAATCTGCAAAAGCTTCTATGACTTGAATATAAGAAGGTAGGTAAAGGTGTCTAATCAATGCATAAAGGTTCTTTCGAGGACAAACAGCATTATCAAACAACTCTTCATATGCTTGATCGAGGTAAGAAAATGTTTGCTTGGCCATGAAAGCTGTACTAGTCTTTTCGAATACTGAGATAGTAGGAATGTTCAAAGGATAGAAAAGAATTCAATGCAAATGTTTCATTGATAAATGACGGTTGCATTTCTGAAAAATGCAAAGCTCATGCACGTTCTAAGACGTGGATAAAACACCTTGATCCACTAATATCACCAAGTATTGGGTATATTAGTGCGGGGAGTAATGTTGGCTACATATTTTGTACAGGCCAATCACAGTTCAACGCGTGACAGAATAAGGGCAATATGGGAAGACCATTCAAATCTTCAATCGTAATCACACACGTGGCAGTTAGTATTGGTTGTTGTGGATCTGCATAGCACTGGATCAGTAAAGAGATGCAAGATAACGCAGTTTTAACAGTTACTCATATATTTGAATTCAAAATCAGGAGCGAAGCTTAACTGCAGACATGGCGTAGTGGAGCTAAAAGCCAAAAAAGCCAACAGTAGCCTAGTGTGTTTGGTTTGAGTTTTTTGGATTAAGTTTTTTTTTAAATTGAGGTTTTTGGTTTTTGTATTTTTTTTGTTTTTAGTGAATATTTTCAAATTTTTAAAATTTTAAACATTTTTTTTTACTTTTTTAGATGCACCTTATTTAGATGTATCTAAAAAGTAAAAAAATTATGAAAAAATATTTTTAAAAATTAATAAATACATAAAAATACAAAAACAAATGTACTGAATTTTCGTTTTTTTTTTTGTATTTTTGGTATTTAGTGAATTTTTAAAAGGTTTTTTTCACAAATTTTTTACTTTTTAGATATATTTATGTTAAGTATGTCTACCAAGTAAAAAAAAATTGCTTAAAATATTAAAAAAATCAATAAAAACAAAAAAAACACGAAAAACAAGAAAATAAAATTTTTTGAAAAGTATTTTTAAAAAAATAAAGCCAAGCAAAGTGTTGTTGCCAATTTTCAACTCTTAACTTCCTAGTAAGGTACTTAGAATATTGTAGGCTGGTTATATCCTGGCATAAACCTAACAAGTATTCAGAATTTATCTAAAAATTTATTTAGAAAAGCAATACAAGATTAAAATTTTACTCTACTAAAAATAAATTTAGACTACAGTCTACACATTGATTTGTGGATAAAATTCTCAATACAAACTACAAAGCATTGCTCATTATTTTTAAACTTCTTCAACTCAAACTCTACATATAGCATATTTGTTTAGGCTATACAGATCTAAATTAATCCCATCCTATGCGATTCTCATTTCTCTGCCATTTCTTCTTGAATCAATCTACGTTTGTTTTGTCTCAGTAAAAAATAAATAAAATATTACCTTCTATGGAGTTCGATACATCGGAAAACAAAATTTAAGGAAAAAAAAAATTGTAATTAACAAAAAATAATTTTATTTAAACAAAAAAAAATATATATTTTTTAATGTAAAATATACATTTCAGACTAAATTTTTACTAAGGCCACCACCACCCCATTTCTCATCATCACTAACATCTTTACCATCACTACTACCTCTGCCATCAATTGCTATACCACCACTATTATAGATTTTGATTCCATGCAATAATCCTAACTTGCAATGCTAGTTTAGGAGCCTAAAACACAATTATCATTTTTTTTTGGTTACTTGTTAAAACTAACGATATCAACCAGCACCATAAAGAGACGTATTCTTGAAACCCAGCATAAGAACCGAGAACACTATCACAGCATAAATGGTCATCCCGGAGAACAAAACATCCCTTGCACATCCCGCAAGGGTAGGCACCCAAATACACTAATAAACACAATCTATAGACAATTAAATATATAAGAAATAAAACACATTTCTTGACACCATTGGCGCTCCCAGCAGCCAAAAAATCTCCACTAGCCTAATCACCCCAAAACACAGAACCGGCAATCTCCACTATTGATACTTAAGTGGCACAAGATTAAACTACTCTTAAATCTTTAATGATTATATTTTGGACATCTAAACCAACATTGTAAGATTATTACAAGTTAAAATTATTATAAAAAAATCTCAATTTCACTATTGTTACCACCGTGCCACCACAACTACCATTACAACAACTACTAACACATTTCAAGCTCATAATTGAAGCAAAATGTTTTTTTTTTTTTTTTTGGGGAACGTGATGCGATTTTTTTTTTCTTCTTTTTGTTTTTTTTTTCTTTCTTTTTATTTTTTATTTTTGTATGAGACAAGTGAAAAGTGGTCCTTTTCACACTTATCATGCAACAAATTAAGACGTAGGGGTATGGGTCCCCAGACTCTCTCCCTACTGTCTTTGTAACTCAAATGTACAATCACTTTATCCATATTTGTTCTTATAGTTTTCTGCCCCCTTCTCTCTCTTTTTATTTTTTATTTTTGCAATGGATATATTAAAAGAACCTTCAATGTCCCCTTCTCTCTCTCTCTTTCTCTTTTTATTTTTTTATTTTTTTATGGATATATTAAAAGAACCTTCAATAAAACCTCAACAAAATATCATTTACAGTAATATTACATATCCAAAATATATATTAAAGATATCAATGTGTAATCTAAATTTATACTACTCATCAACCCCACAAAATATTTATTGAATCTCCACCACACTGTCAAATTCTGGACAAACTCATTGGCTATTTTTCAGGGACAAGGTAGTTTTGTGGCCAACCTACTTCTACATGCACGCCTATTTGAAGCCCCTTTTTTTCTTTTTTCTTTTTTCTTTTTTCTTTTTTCTATGGCATACTTGAGACACCCCCACCCTTCACCACAAACAGTGTTTCTATTTGCACAGAATTTAATTATAAAATCAAATACAATTTTTTTTTTTTTGTTTCCTGTGTAATCTAGTTTATGTGAAAGGATTTGTATTCGATTATGTAATCAGTTTTTACGCACTTAACATTTTTTTTATGATAAGACATACTAATAAACTTGTCTCACTAATAATTACGTGGTCATTTTTACGCACTTAACTTTTTCTACAATAAGACAAGCTAATAAACCTGTCTCACTAAGGTTTAGGTCTTGGTTAAAAAAAAAAAAAAAATTAAAAATTAAAAAAATAAAACCACTCATGTATTAGTGATAAAAGACCTTGTTTTAAGACGAAATTTGAGTGCAGTTCACCCTTTTCTAATGTTGTAGCTATCTTTATTGATACACTTTGTTAGCAAGTAACTACTGTTATTTCAGATTAACTAAGGAACTTGTTTTAAGATGAAATTTGAGCGGGTTCAACTTTTTCTGATGTTATACCTATTTGAGAAGTTAGTTAACTTTTTAACTTTTTGATTTTTTTTTATTATTTCAGTCTAGGATTAAAAAGTCTAATTTGAAAAAGACTTGACTTTTTTAACTTTTTTAACTTTTTTATAAGAGAAAAAGATAATGATTATGAGTTGAATGTGATGTTTTATCTTATTGGATTAAAAAATCCATTTTTGTCTTTTGTGGCTATTTTAGTTTTAAAAAAAAAAACCCCAAACCCAACCCTCTTCCCAAACCATGCCACGTGGTTTGCATGGTTATTTCAAACTATTTCAAACTAACCCTGCCCATCGTAGAGAAATTTTGCACCAGTTAAAAAAAACTAGAGAAACTTCTTTTTTTTCTTTTTTTTTTTACAAATGAAATGCCAATCAACAACAAAAGATAAAAATGTCTGCAGGATTATGTTTTTTGGGAAAGATATTAATGGTATAACTCATAAACTAGATTATTTCCAGATTGTCCAGATAGTGAAAAGAAAGTAGAGGCTGACGAGGAACAGGGAAAATATTCAGCAGACAAGAATCATATTGATGAAATTAAACATGTGATAAAAGCAACTAAATTTCATGACATTAATCAAACATAATCAAAGAACAACACGGCTCTCCAAAAACAAATAGAAATTGAACAAAACAAAAGTAAATTCGAACAAGAAACTGTTTTCTTAGCATAAGGTCCCCACAAAAACCACAATACTCAAACCAAATATGGAAAGCTCTACTAATTGCCTTCAAATTTGCAATTGTGAAAACAAGTTAGGTCGAATTGTGGCAGTAGGAAAGTAAAGACCAGCTACAAGTCACTACATAACGACGTCCACACGTTCAAACTCGATCAGGGACAAATTGTTATTTTCTTTCACAGAGAAATTTGCAGGCTCAGTGACTTCAACACGACCTGACCTGTCCACTATAAGCTTCATCGATCCCTTGAACATGTCAATTTTCGCATTGTGCAGGTTGATTGTAGCACCCTCTTTCATCAAGTCCACTGGACAAAAGACATATCCGTGTAAGTGATATACCATATTGAATCAATAAAAATCAAAATATCAACCGTGTCCATGTCTGTGCACAAGTGTGATGAATTCAAAAAAACAATATAAGGCCTATGAAATTGAGGCACTGTGAGTCACAGAGTTCAAATCATGTATACTGAAAGCAGCATAGTTGCTGGAAATTTGGTTATTATTGCCTTGATTTAGTCAATATTCTAGGATCTGTTTGTTCTTATGTAAATATGGAAAGTAAAGGCCGTATAGAATCAGGAAAAATAGGAAAGTAGAAGCTGTCAAATATTAGCTTTAATTAGTTTCCTTTTCTGTTGTAATTGCTCTCTTTATAAGAGAGAATCATGTTCTCATTCTTTAAGTGATTAAAAATATATTCCTTCCTCATATTTTCTGAGTTGGTATCAGAGCAAAAAACACAGCAGCCCTAAAACCATCGTAGCCATGTCGTAAGTCACGTCCGAAACCCACTTCAACCCCTGCCGCTGCCATTCCGGTAAAAAAATCCAACTCCTCATCCGGTACTCCTAGTGTTTTTTTGGCACAAACAGGTAGAAATCCTAAAGCCTTCTCTTGCCTAAACTTCTCTCCGTGGATCATAGATTCCGGTGCCTCCGATCACATGACTAGCTTTTCCCATTTATTTAGTACCTATTTCCCTTGTTCTAGTCATGACAAAATCAGAATAGCCGATGGTAGTTTTTCACCTATTGCAGGAAAAAGATTTATTAAACTAACTGAGAAAATTAATCTCAATTCTGTTCTTCACGTCCCCAACTTAGCCTGTAACCTTTTGTCTATCAGTAAACTATCTAAGGATTCTAATTGTCGTGTTATATTTTTTGAATCCCATTGTGAATTTCAGGACCAGAACTTGGGGATGATGATTGGGCGTGCTAGGATGCTTGAAGGTCTTTACTACTTTGATGAAGTACCTTTTAGTAAAAAGCTCAGAGATTTAATAGTACTAGTTCAATCTCTGTTCGAGAAAAAATAATGCTATGGCACTATAGGCTAGGACATCCTAGTTTTCTTTATCTGAAACATTTATTTGCAGAACTATTTAAAGGGATTGATTGTTCTTCTTTTCATTGTGAAAGTTGCATTTTTGCAAAATTTCATCGCTCTACTTATTTGCCAAAACATTACCAGCCAGGCTTCCAAACCTTTTTATTTGATTCATAGTGATGTTTGGGGCCCTTTTAAAATCACTACTCTTTCTGGTAAAAGATGGTTTGTTACATTTATTGATGACCATACCCGCTTATGTTGGATTTATTTGATGAATAAAAAATCTGACGTGAAAACTTTATTCACAAATTTTTACAATATGATTGAAAACCAATTTCAAACCAAAATTGGTATTTTACATTCTGATAATGGAACAGAATATTTCAATGAGCAGTTGGGTGAGTTTTTGGCAAAAAAGGGAATTTTTCATCAATCTACATGTCGGGATGCCTCTCAACAAAATGGCATTGCAGAACGAAAAAATAAACATTTACTTGAAGTAGCACGTGCTATAATGTTTTACATGCATGTTCCTAAATATTTATGGGGTGAAGCAATTTTAACAGTCTCTTATTTGATAAATAGGATGCCTACAAAGGTGTTAACATACAAAACACCTTTTGATTGTCTCAAAACTTTTTTCCCTGACACGAGGTTGTTTTCTGATTTACCCGCCAAAGTTTTTGGATGTACTGCCTATGTTCATGTTCCCAGTCAATTTCGTTCAAAACTTGACCCCCGTGCTATAAAATGTGTTTTTTTGGGTTATTCCTCGAACCAAAAGGGGTATAAGTGTTTCAATCCTCAAACCAAGAAATTTCATGTAAGTATGGATGTGTCATTTGTGGAAATAAAATCCTACTTCCCCAACAATTCTCTTCAAGGGGAGACAAGTGGAGTAGAAGACAATTTTTGGGATATTTCTATCCCACTCCCCAATGTCATTTATCCTACACAAAAACCACATCTGTCTGAAAATGATCACTTAGGAGAACCAAGTTCTTTGGTGCCTAGTCAAAAAGATTCTTGTTTAGGGGGAGAAGTACTACAAAATGATCTAAATTCTGAGCTTCAGGTTTGTACTAGGAAGCGATTTCATCTGAGGAATAATGACCCGAATGTCCATCCTAATGACCCGAATGTCCACCCGAGTTCTGGCATCGAAATTTTAGATAATCCTATTCCTTCTATTTTCGACCTTGATGTTCGTATAGCAATTAGGAAAGGTGTCCGAAATTGCATTAAACATCCTATTGCAAATTACCTCTCCTATCAAAGACTGTCTAAAAACCATAGAGTTTTCACATCTAGGATTTCACACTTGTTTGTTCCAAGGAATATACAGGAAGCATTGGATTTCACACTTGTTTGAGGCACCCTGTGATCATTGCTTAACTTGCCTCCGCAACTCATTATTTTGACCTCACCACACCATTTAGGCCTAGTTTGGCATCTCTAAAAAAATTCAAAAAGTCAAAAAGTCACTATCCTATTTAAGTCACATCATCTTATTTAAGTCACATCACTTCTCTAACACATCACTTCAAACCCAACCCATACCCAACCCATATTTCATAAAAATTCAAAAAGTGCACTTATTTAGATCATCCCAAACTACCCCTTAATATCCAACACAATATCTTAGTTACCTAACGATTGTGAAGGTGCAACAGTTTCCTTGCTCAAAACCCACATAGCAATAAAAGACCAGAGAATGCAACAAGAGTTGAATTGCATTTGAGAAGCTTGAAGCTTCTAGCATGTAACCAGAATAACTCATTAAAATCCTTTGAAGATGAGGCCTTATTGCATTACACAATGTTGAGAAAAATGTTAACACTCAATTGGCCATTTTTACCTTTATAAACTGCAATTCCATATATTTATTACATTTCACAGTTACAAATATCATCCAACAAACAAAAAATACATTAAAAAAAATGGGTACACATAACACGTGATGTATGACATGTATAGAGAATCAGAGATATCATTGGGGGAAAAAAAATAGCATCAGGAAGATAATATGGAATAAATATATAAGCTCAAGCATAAGCAGTTTGTATCAAAGCACAAACCTTGATCATTTCTGGCAGTGAAGATAATCATTCCTGTCTCATCACCTACCAAGCATTCAGCAAGTCGCATTTGGCGTCCTTGATTTCCATTGGCACGACCCTTAGGCAGTATCATCTTTGAATTAACAACTTTTACTATGAGATTAAGTCCCTCAGCTTGAGGGCGAAGTTGCTCAACTTTTGTGAAAACTTTCTTTTGTTCATCCATATCCAACAAAACCCTGTTGACAAAAACCAATGTATGGAAAGCTAATTAGTAAAACACAAAGATGTACCTCCTTTAGAACAAAAAGAAGCAAGCAAATCCTAATATGCTTCACTTTTGAAAACCACGGGCAAATAAAAAAGTTCCAACTACTATACACAATCCATATCATAAGAAAAGCAGCAATTTTTGTGGTGTCAGTTACGAACAACTATGGTTGTGTTGTAGTTATGAAGGGGCACACCATAAGAAAAATCTTACTTACGAACCATCCTGATTACATTACAAACTGATTTCATGTTATAAATTATGAATTTTTGTTACGAATCTATGAAAATAAATAAAAACTTCTTTCAACAGTGAATTTAAGATCTAATAGAGATACATATATATATACAATCCCCAATTCAGATTGAGCCTAAAATAACAATGTGTCCGAATTTATCTTTCGAAAACCAACAATCAAACAAAGGTTAAATACACTTAAATAACATACTCAGATAAAAGAACATGAAAATTAAAAAATTTATCAAGACGATTAAACAAACACAATCAGTATTTCATCAAGAGAACATAAAATAAGTAAGTTTCCTCAAAATCGTTAAAGTTTCAACCGATCAAATCCAAATTGAAAACATCATTCGAACATCAATATATAACAACCAAAGTATTATCACAGGAAAATCAAGATAATGAATCTGAATTTAAAATTTGCATAATAAAGAGCAAGGAAAGGAAATCTATTACAGAGATGAAAAGCGAGAGATCAGGCGGTTTCGTTGTGCCTCGCCTGAGTCGAGGGCGAAACAGATCTGTGTTGTAGAGAGAGAGAGCGAGAGAGAGAACACGTTTCAGATGAGGATTAGGTTATGGCTAAGGAAAATATTGCAAGGAAAATGATTTTTTTTTTAATTAAATTAATTGATTGAATGATGTGATAATATTATTTTTGAGATAATAAATAATTTTAAAAAAAAAATTATTTAAAATGAATGTATATAAATATATAATATTATTTTATATAAATTTTGTATGTAACTTTAATAATTATATATATGATTCATATATATCAAATTAAGCTTGATAAGAAAAGTTATTTGTGTAATAATTTTAAGGGGTGTTTTGGGAAGTTAGAAAAAAGTTGGCTTTTGACTTTTTACTAAGCTTTTTAGTTTTTTGGAAAGTGATTTGAGAAATTGGTAAAAAGCTGACTTTTTAGTTTTTAGTTTAATATTTATTTATGATGTCAAATCAAATTAAAATGATCAAAATACCCTTATCAAACTTTGAAATTCTACACAATTTGTTGACCTAGAGGGTATTTACGTAATTAATCCGCCTAGCTTTTTTATCACTTGCCAAATGCAACAATTGCCCAAAAAGCTGAGCCAGCTTTTTTTTGAACCAACAAAAACGCGAGTGTTTTTGTCTCTTCCCAAAACGGCACTAAGTAATTGTAAAATGTCGTTGGGTATGCCAGAAATGTCATGTATTATGAAAATACAACAATGTTACATACCTCCAAAAAACACAATTTCACAACCCTCACTCACTTGTGCTTGATCCAGAAAAGAAAGAAGAAAAAAAGCAAATAAACATAAAAACACATGATTGGTCCACATTATTTTGAAAGTTATAAGAGTCCCCAACTTTGAGAGTCACAAGTATTTTTTATGAAAATAGATTTTGCAAGTAACAGATTTAAAATAGGTCACACCCATAATACATGCACTCCTTTAATTTACATTTTAAAATAGTTTTTTTGGGTAATTTTTTTGAATTTATAAAATTATTGTTAATATTCTATATTCAAGGGTTACTACTCAGAAACAAATTTGGGGACTTGCTATTTGTTCACACAATTTTTGAAGGATTAAGGCTCCGTTTAATAAGTCTCTCAAATTATAGTTTCACTTATTGATTTGAGTGTGTTGTTTATTTTGAACTTTCAAATCATAATTCTACACTCATTTCTCAAAACTCAATTCTAAACATAATCATTACTTTTCAAAACTCATAACCAAACACATAATTCAAAACTCTTTTCAAAATTCAATTCAAATCAATATTTTAATATTTTAAATATTTTAATATTTTAAAAATATTTTAATTTTGTTAGGATTTTAAATATTTCAATATTTAAATATGTTACGATTTTTTTAATTTTTTAATTTTTTGAATATTTTTAAATATTACGATTTTAATTTTTTATATACACACACACACAATAAAAATAAATTCAAACTCTATTTTACAAAAATATTTTTAAATATTTTAATTTTTTTTGTTATGTATTTAGTTACGATTTGAGTGTAGAGTTGTGAAAATAGTATAGAATTTCGAGTTATATATTTGGTTATGAGTTTTAAAAATAATTTCTTAATTGAGTTTTGTTTTATGTGTTTGGTTACGATTTAAGTGTAGAGTTGTTTTTAAATTTAAAATATTGACATTTTAAACTATTTAAAATTTTTGAATATTTATTTTAATTTTTTACTTATTAAATTTTTTAGATTATTTAAATATTTATGATTTAAATTTTTTGAATATTTATTTTGAAAAAAAATTATTTCCTTTGTAGTATTTTCAATAAAAAAATTGATTAATATTATTTTCTGCTAATAATAAATTTTTTTAATTAAATTTTAAAAAGAGTTTAGTTATGAGTGTTGATCAGAATTTTCAATAGTGTGAAAGTATTGTGTTTTGTTATGAGTTATAACAATTTGAATTAAATTTTGAAAACTCTTTCCAAAACTCATAATTAAACAAATTTTCTTACTTCACATGTCAAATCAAACTTTCAAAACTCAATTCCACACTCAGGGGTGGTTTGGGATGATCTAAATAAGTGTACTTTTTTACTTTTTATTAAGGGCTAGTTTGGCATATACTAAAAAAGTCAAAAAGTCACTATCTTATTTAAGTCACATCATCTTATTTAAATCACATCACCTCTCTAACACATCACATCAAACCCAACCCAAACCCACCAATAAGTCAAAAAGTGCACTTTTTTAGGACATCCCAAACCAACCCTAAATATGGGTTGTGTGTGGGTTGGGTTTGAAGTGATGTGATAGAGGGGTAATGTGACTTAAATAAGATGATGTGACTTAAATATGATAGTAACTTTTTGACTTTTTTAATGTACCCCAAACCAAGCCTCAATTCAAAAATCATAACCAAACAAATTTGCTACACTCAAATCATAATTCCACAACTCACAAACTCATAATACAACTCATACTCTTAAATCATATTTACAAAACTCTACCAAATGCAACCTAAGTTTCTCTCAAGTTTAAATTTGAAGTCGAGAGAATTGGAAAGGATCGTGGAGCCAATCACGGCTCATATTTCGATAAGGATAAAGATTGGTAGCTCGAGGATTTCGCCCCCGAATCCCCCTAAAGCCCAAAACGACGTCGTTTTGGGCTTTAGGTTTTTTTTTTCTTTTTTTCTTTTTTTCCGCCATTTTTGAACGCAGAGCAGAGGAAGAGGGAGAGAAAGAGAGGGAGAGGGAAGAGGGAGAGAAAGAGCTCGTCGCCCAGCCGAGCTCGTCCGCCCGCCGGTCATCGGCCCAGCCGAGCAATATTTATTTTGAAAAAAAATTATTCCTTTGTAGTATTTTCAATAAAAAAAATTGATTAATATTATTTTCTGTTAATAATAATTTTTTTTAATTGAATTTTAAAAAGAGTTTAGTTATGAGTGTTGATCAGAATTTTCAATAGTGTGAAAGTATTGTGTTTTGTTATGAGTTATAACAATTTGAATTAAATTTTGAAAACTCTTTCCAAAACTCATAATTAAACAAATTTTCTTACTTCACATGTCAAATCAAACTTTCAAAACTCAATTCCACGCTCAGGGGTGGTTTGAGATGATCTAAATAAGTGTACTTTTTGGCTTTTTATTAAATATGGGTTGTGTGTGGGTTGGGTTTGAAGTGATGTGGTAGAGGGGTAATGTGACTTAAATAAGATGATGTGACTTAAATATGATAGTAACTTTTTGACTTTTTTAATGTACCCCAAACCAAGCCTAAATTCAAAAATCATAACCAAACAAATTTGCTACTCTCAAATCATAATTCCACAACTCACAAACTCAAAATACAACTCATACTCTTAAATCATATTTACAAAACTCTACCAAACGCAACCTAAGTTTCTCTCAAATTTAAATTTGAAGTTGAGAGAATTGGAAAGGATCGTGGAGCCAATCACGGCTCATATTTCGATAATTTGAACCGTTCATTTTATAAGACTCTCAATGTATATCATTCAAAAAAAAAAAATTAAATCGATTTAAGAATTGTAATATTTTTATTTTACTACATTGGTTTTCGAAAAAATAGACAAGAAGTATGCTCATGCTTAGCTTGACTTAATTATTTAATATAAGAATATTTAATTTTGATTTATACCTTAATTTTGGCATAAATGTGAATTGTAGGTTAGATTTTAACTAATTAAATTATTTAGTTAATTTTTGTATTATTATAAATTAAAAATAAATATTTTTCTTTTTACTAACATACTTGTACCTTAATTTTTTAGATTTTACCATGTTAACGTAATGTATTGTACCAATATTTGTTCTTGTATTCGCACTTCATAGCTCACGAGATAGAAACAGTGGTGATGTTTTTGGAGGTGTATGAAAGCTGGTTCATTGGAGATTGTTTCAACCCAATATTGTCATAACCCAAGAGATCCTTCACACCCTTAGTTGTAAAAAAGGTAAGTCAGGTGTGATGGTCACTAAAATTGACCTCAAGAAAGCTTATGACCGTATCTCTTGAGATTTCATTTTTCACCCCCCCCTAAAGAATTCAATCTTAACTTTGATTGGATCACCCTCATCATGAACTGTGTGTTCAATGTCAATTCTACTATAATTTGGAATGGGAAGACCCTACCTAGCATTACCATGGGGAGAGGTCTTAGACAAGAGATCCTCCCTCCCCCTATTTGTTTGTCCTTTGCATGGAAAGTTTATCTAACATGATTAGATTTAAAACTGAAAGTGGTAAATGGAAAGACATCAAGGCTTCTAAGAATGGCCCCTCCATTTCTCATTTGTTTTTTTGCTGATGATTTGATCTTATTTGCTAAAGCTAATAAAAGCAACTGTGATTGTATCATGGAAGTGCTCTTTGATTTTTGTGATATGTCTGGTTAAAGAATTAACTTTCAAAAATTCAAAATTTTCTTCTCCCCTAACATCCCAAGAAGAGAAGCTTTTCCTCTTAGTTATAGGTATGGCATATCTATTACCAATGACCTAGGTAAATACTTGGGTACTCCCTTCGTTCATAGTAGAATTGGCAAAAACCACTTGAAAGACATTATTGATAAAGTGGCCAAAAGACTCTCTGGTTGAAAAGCAAAAAAATTGTCTTTAGCAGGCAGAACCACCCTTATTAAAGTTGTCACCTCTTCCATGCCTAATCACCTCATGCAAACCATGGAAATTCCAAGGAAAGTCTGTGATCAAATAGATAGGCTGAACAGAAACTTTCTCTGAAGAAATACTGAGAATAGGAAGAAAATCCATCTTGTTAACTGGCAGAATGTGTGCAAATCAAAGAGAAATGGGGGCCTAGGAATTAGGAAAACCAGCTACCAAAACTCAACCCTTATTTCTAAGTTGGGATGGAAATTGATCACCAATTCTGAAGAACTTTGGTGTAAAATCTTGAAAGCTAAATATCTCAAGAACCACTCTATTTCTAATTGGCCCACTAAGAGAAGAGCATCACACATTTGGAAAAGAAAAATGATGCAGACCACTAATTAGTGGTTGCACTAGGGATGTGGCAGTGGGTGGGACCCACTGCCAAATGTGTTTTGTGTCTTGGTTTTTTTTTTTTTTTTACTTGCCACATCATTAGTGGTGGTGTTAATGGTAAAAATTTAGTGGTCTGTAGCATTGTTGTTTGGAAAAACATTATAAGAAATAAGGATGTTTTGAACAGGAACATAAAGTGGAATGTTGGTACAAAGGGACAACATAGCCTTATGGACAGATTGGTGGTGTAGGAACCAGCTTTTGTATATCACAAATCAAGGACAACACATCGACATCACCACCAAAGTTAGTTCTATTTTGGACGAAGAAGGGCATTGGGACTTAACCTCTATTCAAGACCTTATAACCCAGCAGGACAAAGATGCAATTCTCAGTATATACAGACAAAGGTATGTAACTTTCAGTGACACACCTCAATGGAAAGGCACTAACAGTGGCAAATATACTATAGTTGTAGCCTACAAAGCTATTATGGAAGAAGATAGAGAGGAAGTTGACTGACAGTTATGGAAAATCAAGGCTTCTCACAAACTTCAGAGCTTTCTTTGGCTTGACATGCATGAGAAGCTCCTTACCAACCATATAAGGCTCATCAGGAACTTATTACACTCTGAGTTATGTCCCAAGTGCCAAGCTAACAGAGAAGACATGCATCACCTTCTTAGAGGCTATATTAAGGCCAAGGCAATTTGGCTTCGATTTAAAAACATTGGCTGGTGGTAGCACAACATCAACACTCATCTACTGGACTGGATCAAAGCAAATCTGAGAAGCAAGGAGCAAGTGAATAACATTCAGTGGCCTATTATATTCTTGACAGCACTCTGGGGCATTTGGAAAAAGAGGAATCATGAAATGTTCGAAAACCTTTCGAAGCCTACCCATATCAGTGTTACTTCCATTTTTAAACAAGCCATGGAAATTCAGGAAGCCTTCCATAACATCCTGAACCCAAATTTCAGAGATCCACAACTAATGATGTGGTCTTGTCCTATTGTAGGTAAACTCAATCTGAATATGGATGGAAGCTCTAAAGGAGACCCTGGACAATCCGACTATGGTGGACTGCTTAGAGATGAAGTGGGAACCTAGGTGTGGGGGTATTATGGCTACTTAGGCAACTGTACAAGCCTGTAAGTCGAGCTGTAGCGCGTCTACAGAGGTCTAACCATTATCATGCAAAAGGGGTTGACCAATATTGATATCGAGACTGACTCTCAGACAGCTATGGAGCTTATTCGTGATAGTGCTGAGATGAACTCACCCTACAGAGCACTCATTGAAGATGCAAGCTTTCTCTTAAGGAGGTGTCAATGCTCAATCACAGCCATTCCCAGGGAAGCTAAGCTGTGTTGATGCCTTGGCCAATCTAGGAGTCAACCAACAAGAGCTCACTATCTTTCTAGATGATCCACCTAACTCCATCTTTCCTCTGTTAATCACTGACATGAGGAATGTCAGCTCTAGCCGGGATTAAATTCCCAAACTCTGTTTGCCATCCTCTTTTATTTTATTTCATATGAATCAAAAAAAAACAAAAAAAAAAGAAGAAGATTGTTTCAAGTACCTATTGAAACTCCACACTAAAACTAACATTAGTAGTATAGGAGTAGTACCAAGATGTTGATTGGCTCTAGCAGAACAGGTCTTTCAAAATAATTGTGAAATTTCTTTACTAACATGTTCACTCATTCATTCATTCATTCATTCCATTGACAAATCATGTTGAATTGATGACACAATTCTCTTAGCCTTATTTGATTCACATATATTTGCAATAAATACTTTTGAGAAAAATAAGAAGACATTATTAAAATTTAGAAGCAAAGAATCGCACAGAACACTCGTCTTTGCAATAGGCTCGGATTCAAAACCACAAGGTAACCCGATCGAAATTATAATTTAATAATAAAACCCCAAATTACACATTATGTCAGCTGGCTTTATTTTCTGCCAAAAATGTGTTGCTGGCAAAAACATGTACAGCCTTCAGAGCAATACAAAGTTTTAAGAAAATAAAGTGGAGGAGAGAGCGTAAACTAAACATGAAAACACATGGATACTGATGCACACAAATGCAGATTAACAAGGAGTATAGCCATAGTCAAGACACCATAACTCAAAAGAGCCCTTAACAAAGTCATAGTGTCCTCCCTTTATAGATATTGTTTTCATCGTCACAGCTTCCCTCACAAATGGATATGTCAATAGGTTTCCCAGTGATACATTCACAGCCTCCTGCAATATTTATGCCCAAAAAAAAACAAAGAGTTAATATAAAGCAACTTTTTGAGATTTACTTGCCACAAATCGGTTTAATTTTTGTCTCACTTTATAAGTTTGCTTATTGTTTGGCTTATTTTTGCTTTTAGTAAACGGTTCTCAATTTTGAGTATTGAATATATAGCCCTTGATAGAGTGCCAAAAAAAGATCCATATAGCCGAACCCACTTGATTGGGACACAACTCATAGAATTGACACAATGTTTGATTATTACCTATTACAAGAGCTTTGAACTCAAATCAGTAATACAGAGGAAGAAATATATGATACCTTACCTAGTAGTCAACAAGGTGGTGGAGCTAATACCAACACTTGGTGATGTTCGGGAACTTGGGTTTGGGATTTTTTTTTTCTACTAAAAGACAAACTTTTTGCAAAACCAAAAAAAATACATCCAAACAAAATATCACATCCAACCCCATAATCATTTCACTTTACTATCTTCCCAAACATCAAAAAAAATTTATCCAATAATATTCTGCAACTAAAAAAACCTACATAAAAATCTACTTCTCAAACATCTACTAAGTTAACTTATAAGACCGTTTAACTTGGAAACCAAAACTATAACTTCTGCTAAAAGTACTACCCACAATGGTACTGTTAGATGTGGATCTTCTTTGCCCAATCTCTGTCCCCTATCAAATCACACAGGATAGAGAGTTTGGAGACAGAAGATTCCTGGCCGAACCTTGGGTATTTTACATTCCATCTTTGGCTTTGGTGCGTAGTCCCTGGTTTAATGAGTTTACAATTAATTATCAGTAAGGGACAGTGAAGTGGGTACACTTACCTTCTCACAGTTCGTGCACTGTTCAGCGAAATCCAAGCTGCTGTAATCCGCTTTCACCTTGGCCCGAGCAGGCAAACAGATTTTGACCCAATTCTCTATAAAATCACTGCTAGTTCAAACACAAAATGAGACTGTCACTGAAATAACTTCATTAAGATGAGATTCTCTGAGCTATGATAAATTACTGCATTGCAATATTTGCATTCCATCAGTGATGAGGCTGATCTCCCTCTTAATTATTTATTTATTTATTATGTGAAGTAAGCTATGTAATTTAGGAGTTGTTTGGGGTGTCCTAAATAAGTGTACTTTTTGTCTTTTTGGACTAAAAATTTGAGGAAGAAAATATAGATGTTTGAATTAACTTTTTAACTTTTTATGAAAAAATATGTATTAAAAAATTGTATAAATTAGTGAGTAGGGAAAAATTAAGATTGAGAGTTGTACCAGTAAGGGACAGTGAAGTGGGTACAGTTACCTTCTCACAGTTCGTGCACTGTTCAGCGAAATCCAAGCTGCTGTTATCCGCTTTCACCTTGGCCCGAGCAGGCAAACAGATTTTGACCCAATTCTCTATGAAATCACTGCTAGTTCAAACACAAAATGAGACTGTCACTGAAATAACTTCATTAAGATGAGATTCTCTGAGCTATGATAAATTACTGCACTGCAATATTTGCATTCCATCAGTGATGAGGCTGATCTCCCTCTTAATTATTTATTTATTTATTATGTGAAGTAAGCTATGTAATTTAGGAGTTGTTTGGGGTGTCCTAAATAAGTGTACTTTTTGTCTTTTTGGACTAAAAATTTGAGGAAGAAAATATAGATGTTTGAATTAACTTTTTAACTTTTTATGGAAAAAAAAAAATTTATTTTTAAGGATAATTTTACCAAGTCTTATTTTCAATTGGACTTGATGAGAATTTACAACCGTAATTATTGGCTTTTAATAAATAGTATTAACTTTTTAACTTTTTAAATAACTTTTTAACTTTTTACCTTTTTTATAATATGTGAAACTTGGCCTTATAATCAAACTCTCTTATACTTTATATTTTTAATTTTTCAAGCCTCTAGAGTAGAAAAGACCAGAATCCATTCGATTGATGCTTTCCTAGAGACAGACTAAAGTCGTAGACCTGAATGACAATGAATGTCTAATTTGATATAGTGAGTGTTTAAAAAGTGACTATTTTTTAGATTTTTAAATTTTTTAATTATTTTAATAGGTTATTTTAGTTTTTGTGTTTGAGAAGATGGAATGAATTTTTATTTGAATTGTTATATTGAAAAATGTGTTTAAAATGATGTTTGAAGTTGAAATGATAAATTTATCCCTAATTCTATTTTTTTTTTTTTGAAATTGATGTAAAAGGGCAAAAGTGTAATTTATTACCAGTGGGACAGCCGAAATGGTGACAATGGTAGGCCGCAGTGCCACTGACTGCCAAGTTACTTTTCTTTTTTTTATATAATATAAATCAATGGTTTAAGCAACTGTTCAAGGCTAAAAGGCCTTTTTTCAAACTTTAAGGCTAAAATAGCCTACCTACCTCACGCCTTCCCAAACACCGCCTAATTCTTATGATATTTGTAAATTAATTTTTACTGATTGTCGAAAAAAATCGAACATTGGTGAGAGGGATTGTTAGTGTCTAATACAACAGCTTCTTCGTAGAATGGAAAATATATATATATATATATATATATAAGTCTACCTATGCACTAATCATAAAAATAAAAAATAAAAAAAGAGAAGAATTGCAATTCCACTCCATTGGAGACGGCAATGCCAATTACCAACTCCTCTGCAATAATTTGACATTTTAAAAGATCATGCTACCACAGCATCCAGCCCAGACATTGAGGGATCAAGATTTCGCAAGTTTGGGTTACTATAAAGGGGGAAATTTGAACAAAGTACTTTATGATATTATGGAAAAGCCTATTCTTACATGAAAGTTATACAGAAAATGCATTCATAATAATGTAACAAAATTATTTTTTTGAAATTTAGAGCCATCTTGACAGGTGTTCAATCTTAAAATGAATCGTACAGGAATAATGCATGAATTTTTCATTTATACTTATGCAATGGTCCAAAATTCTCCAAGTGGTTTTTTTTCTTCTAAAAGTTGCCTAGTAGCTTTTAAATTCGTTTGGATGCCCCCAGATAGTGTGGAACTATATTCTCATTGGCACACAAAAGTGATTAAAGAAGACAATAACAAATGTTGTCAAGAGCCATAAGAAAAGTTACATTCACACAGGAGAAGAATCTCTATTTGGAATTTCTAAGAAGTTGAAAATAATAAATTAAAAATGCTCTTGGAATATGCTTATACTTGCCAATACCAGTACAAATTTTGAAATTTAAAAAGATAACTTACGTAGCAGTGGTCCCATCATCTGGGATAGACATGAGGCCCTTTATCCCTCCACAACGACTATGTCCAATGACCAGAATAGTCTCTACCTGTAGCATATTCTCTTAATCAACATCAACTAAAAAAATTCCAGCTAACAACGGTCCATGAAGCATTTGTTAAGGATCAATTAGTTTTTTTATTTTTTATAGTTAGAATTCTAATACACTTTCACATATGCCATGTGCTTTTGTAAGTTTTTCATATATTTCAATACATTTTTTATGGATCAACATTAAAATTAAACCATCACCCAATGGGAAGTGATAAGCATTCCTCCACAAAAAATAAAAATAAAAATAAAAAATAAAAAAATTAAACAATACATTGAAAGTTATCGGCTTCTTGCATCTGTTTGGTTGTGTTTTTGTTGTTCCTTTTCATTTTTATTTTTCAAGTATATTTTTTAAATAAATCAACTATTTTGTTTAAGACCAACGTCATAAATGAAAAAATTACTATTATTGAATTAACCTAATTTTTTTTTCATAAATGAAATACACGAAAGATTCTACAAAATGACTAATTCAAATCATCAAAACAAGACTCGCAACATATCTTACGAGTTCAAATAATTCTCTCAAAGTTAAAAGTACTCCAATGCAATTATAGCTTATAGAGTACTACCAATTTGTACCGTAGGAATCATTAAATTTACATTAATAATAATTGGTGATCTATATAAATACTTTATTCGTACCTAATAATTTTTCCAATATCAGATAGTAACTAATCATTAAATAACAAAGGCATTAACTTTGGAATTTTCTTTTAAAAAAAAGTGCATCACTTTGGAATTTAGGTGGGCACGTGAATGAGTTGGGGAATTAGAAGCGACAAATGGTAGTGTGTGGGGTTAGGTTTAATGACTCGGCTTTGTCACGTTGCCTTCACTACCTACAAGAGCTCCCATCACCAAGGGAGCCACCACTATTATAAAGAAGCAGCTAACTTAACCGTGTAAAGGCTGTGTTTGGTTTGCCTTTAAAATTATGATTTTAAAGGTAACATTTTTAAATTATTTTTTAAAATTCATAATTAAATACATAATTTAAAATTATTTAATACTCAATTCAAAAATTAATTTTAAAACTCATAATCAAACACACAATTTGAATTTTTTTTCAAAACTCTTTTGATGATATAGTGTTAAAGATAGTTTAGTGATAGAATTATTAAATTATTTTCATAAAAAGTCTAAAAAAAATAATTTCTATATTTAAAAAATATCTTAAACAAATATATTTATTTTTTTTCAAATAACAGGTTGTGGTTGCAATTGCAATTGCCCAAAAAAAAAATTTTTTTGCATAGTTTTGGTCAACCGGCTGGACGTCTGGGAGGATGTCCCGGCGGACAACCGGGTAGACCCAATCTATTCTTTTCAAAATTTAAAATTCAAAAATTCTTTTTAGAACTCATAACCAAAGAAAAAAAAATTTCAAAACTCAACTCACAATTTCACACTCAAATCACAACTCTAAAAAAATAATAACAATTTCAAAATTAAGCCAATCGCAACCAAAGTTTGGATGCTAAAAGAAGGTTTACAATATGAAAATTGGCTGAGACACTTAAAATTATTTTTATTGATATGTTTGATAAGTGTTAAATTTTAATTTATCAAATATTTTATTATATATGGTCTAACATTAATGTCATATCATTAAGAGGTTGTTTGGAGTGTCTTAAATAAGTGCACTTTTTATCTTTTTGGACTAAAAAATTGAGGAAAAAAATATGGATGTTTGGATTAACTTTTTGACTTTTTATGAAAAAAATGTGTATTAAAAAATTGTATAAATTAGTGTATAGGGAAAAATTAGGATTGAGAATTGTGCGGCCATAATTTTTGACTTTTGGTGAATGGTGATACCTTTTTGATTTTTTGAGTAATTTTTTGATTTTTTGACTTTTTGGCAATTTGCCAAACTTGACCTAAAACTGATTAAAGAATAGTAAATTAGGAAATGTACCATGACTAGTTGTAATATATTCTCACCTTCAGATGCAACACTGCATATTCAATTGCTGCCCCCATTCCTGAATATTTTGTCTGCATCAGATAATCAAGCAAGTCATGCAAAACAGCAGTTATATGATTGGAAACATTTTGACCACTTCGACATTATTTCAGCAAAATACTAGGTTTGGCAAAAACTTAAGGCCGAATTATAATTATAATTGTGATTGTTATAGTTTGTTTGTTTGTTTTGTTAATTTGATTCTTATAGTTTTAATTTTATAAATTTTGTTATTTCATTTTTTGCATTATATTAATTTAGTTTATTTATAACATCAGTTACAGAAATTAAATAGAAAGCATGGGTAAAATTATTCATTTAATATTATATATTTTTTGATTTTTTGACTTTTTGGCAATTTGCCAAACTTGACCTAAAACTGATTAAAGAATAGTAAATTAGGAAATGTACCATGACTAGTTGTAATATATTCTCACCTTCAGATGCAACACTGCATATTCAATTGCTGCCCCCATTCCTGAATATTTTGTCTGCATCAGATAATCAAGCAAGTCATGCAAAACAGCAGTTATATGATTGGAAACATTTTGACCACTTCGACATTATTTCAGCAAAATACTAGGTTTGGCAAAAACTTAAGGCCGAATTATAATTATAATTGTGATTGTTATAGTTTGTTTGTTTGTTTTGTTAATTTGATTCTTATAGTTTTAATTTTATAAATTTTGTTATTTCATTTTTTGCATTATATTAATGGAAAAATTACTCATAAATCCTATATTAAAAAATGTTACTCCATCTAGTCCTAAATGTTTTCTTATAAACCATTTAGTCCTTTTTTTACATCACAACATCATCATCAAAATAATATCAAACATCATCATCAAAACAACATCAAACATCACAACATCTCAATCAGTGGGTTTTCATCTCTTCGCTTTCTGAGTTCTAGGGTTTTGTGACATCCCTTGGAACTTTCTTGATCCAATGGAGGAAGACAACAGCGCGAGGATGAAGGGGGTCCTAAAGTGGTTCAGTGACCAAAAGGGTTTCGGTTTCATCACCCCCGACGACGGCGGCGAAGATCTCTTTGTCCATCAGTCCTCCATCAAATCCAACGCCTTTCGCATCCTTGGCAACGGCGAGGCCGTCGAGTTCATCATAGATTCGGGCGACGATGGCCGCACCAAAGCTGTCGACGTCACCGGCCCCAACGGCGCTCCCGTTTAGGGCACTATCCGCGGAGGAGGTGGAGGAATCTAACTCTCTCATCAAAACCTTACCCTACAATGTCAGCATCTCAATCAATTCCCTCTTAATCCCGTACGGGTTCAATCTAATGGCCTCTGAGACTCAACCCCCGTTGGGTCTTAACATCACCAAAGCCCTAATCTGATGATGATGTTTGATAAAAAAAAAAACGTTTAATCGTTATTTTGATGTTTGATGTTATTTTAATCGTTATTTTGATGTTTAATTGTTATTTTGATGTTGTTTTGATGATGATGTTGTGATGTTTGATGTTGTTTTGATGATGATGTTAATGTTGTTTGATGATTGTGATGTTTGATGTTTGTTTTGATGATGATGATGTTTGATGTTCACAATACCACTAAGGGAAAACAAACATCTATAGAGTAAAGGTTTTGGGCATTTCAGTCAATACCACATTGGGATTTTCCTCATTTACCATTACTAAACAGCACAAAACATAGTATAACACTAGTTATTTTGTCATTAACATTAACTTGGGACTAATTGGATCACAAGATAAAATGTAGGACCAAATGGGTCATAAGATAAAGATTTGAGATTTATTAGTGCATGGCCCTATATTAATTTAGTTTATTTATAACATCAGTTACAGAAATTAAATAGAAAGCATGGGTAAAATTATTCATTTAAAAGAAGATAGACCATTTTAAATTATATGCTAACCCCTTACTTATTTTTAAGAAGAGTAAAGTAAAAATTCAAAGATAAATTTGATAGGATGTTCGCGGTTCGGTTGCGGCCTGGGAATTTCTAATCTACCATCCGTTCAAAATTAGACGAATTGGAGAAAATCAATCCGCAATCGTCTACTGGATTGATAGATGCAGATTGTACGGATTGACAGATTGGCGGATGGATACGAATTAGTTTAGTGTGCATTTTACAAATTTTCAACATATCATAAAACCTGTCAACATAAATTTTTTATTTTTTATTTTTATAACAATCCAATCTGTCTTATTAATAATGAATAAAAATATGTATAATAATCCAATAAACCTCTATCCTAACATTGGCTGCAAAAACTCAAAAGAGACTACCGGACAATTGTTTGAGAGAAGCTGTCCAAATTCCAAAGAGCAAAGAGTATATGCATACATACCCAAGTGTGTGTATATATATATTTGTATTTGTGTATAGGTTTAAAAAGAAAAATAAATAAATAAAAAGTAATAGAATAGTAGGTGAGTATTTTAAAAATAGAATTTGGTTGGGGTGTTTGCAGTTTGGTTGTGGCCTAAGAATCTTTAATCTGCTATCCGTCCAAAACCAAGCAGATTGGAGAAAATCAATCTGTATCTGTCCGCTTGTCATCATACATCCGTCCAAAATGCAGTGGATCGATTTGATTCAATCGGTTTTGACGGATCGGTATATCCGCTAAGCACTTCTAAAATTTGATGCAATTAAAATTATGTAAGGATTAAATTAACATAAAATGTAAACTATACAAATTACCAACATAATTTGTCCAAAACTTAAAAAGTGACTAAAAACGCTGAAGTGTAAAAAACTATTTTTTAATGGTTAAAGCTTATTACCCAACCCATATTGTATCTTATTAATTTTTTAATTTATTTTGTTTTTTTAATTAACTAAATTAGTCACAACCATCTTGTGAAATGAAGCCACAATGGTTTTCTTGGGAGGAATTTGTAATTTTTATTTATGTTCTCATAAAAAGCAGCTTGTCTGCCTTTTCTCTAGCTTTTAATTTAAGCTCATGCCATGCATATAAGGGCCAAACAAAAAAACTTTAAGCCAAACAGGATAGTTTTAAGGGGTACTCAAAAGAAGTCTAATAAAACTATATTAATGGTGGGGAATCATTTTCTTTATGTTAAAGGATAAATAAAAGGAACATTTCAAAATGAATATTGTCAATGATTAGTGCAACATTTTAAAATATGAATAGTTAATTAAGGTTTGTTTGGAGAACCTGGTCATATGGAGGGACCATGCTGGCAATGTTTCTGACAACAAAAGCCTCCCCTGGTTGGAAATCGAGGATATGCGAAGGGCAGACACGGGAGTCCGAGCAGGCAAATACCATAAACTGCATCAATTATCAACAAACATCACACACACACACACACACACACACACACACACAAAAAAAAAAAATTCAAAGTATGCCAATTGATTGGAGATTATTTTTATACATATAAAAGAAATTACATCAAATTGGTCAATTATAATTCAACAACGAACTGACACAACATGCCATGGGCATAGCATAGTTCGTGCCTCCCAATCATGCCTCTTTATAGTCCATGGGCCTAATCCTTTATTTTGTGTTGTTCTTTTGGTGTATTTTAAGAATTGAAAGTACAGTACAAATATATTTAGAAATTCTACTTTTAAATTTTGGTAAAATTTTGGATCTCTAACATTACTCATATATTTTAAGTGAATCTTTTAAATGTGTAAACAATGCATTTTAAATGAAACTTAAATTACAAATTTGACCGCAAAATTAAATGTTGATATACTTGAGGTAAACTATTAATATGTCATAATAGTTGAACTTAATTTCCATCAAATTTTATTAAAAATAAATCTTAATAAAATTGTAGCTAAAAATAATTTTTTGTGATTATTTTTTACACATGTCGTTAAAAATTGACAATTAGTGACTTTTTTTGTTATGATTTTTATAAATTGTCACATTTTTCTATGACGAACTTTTCAAATTGTCGCTAAAAATTGTAAATTAGTGACTTTTTATAATGATTTTTTAAAAATATGGTTAAAACATATAATTGATGATATTTTTTGTGATAATTTTGAAACTGTCGTTGAAAATTAACAATTAATGATATTTTTTAATAGTATTTGATAAAAAAATATATTTAATTATTATATGACCTATTGGACAATAAGTACAGACCTACACCTAAATTTCCTATATACTTGATGAGACAGTTATATAGTTGCTTACAAAATAGCAAATCTTTATATTTTTCTTATTAATTGATGTGTAATGAAATAATGAAACTTTAAAACATGACATAAGATCTATTTTAATAAAGATAATAAATGTTACATCATTCTTATTAATTGATATGTAATGAAATAATGAAACTTTAAAATTTGACATAGGATCTATTTTAAGGATATAATAAATGTTACATCAACAAATATTTAAAAAAAATAAAAATTACTAGTTTGTATACTATTATTTTTAAGCAATCGGACAAAGGTCTAATGTATGATTGTATTCAAATAATTTTTTTATTTATTTTTTGGGGTAGAAATTTTATGTGGCTCTAAAGAAAACTTTTTATGAGGATAAAAGGTATGCGCAGTACAATTCAGACGGGTTGAGAGTAAAATTATAAATCAAATGACGGATTGACAGATCAACAAATCGCGGTTTGGACGGATTGACGAATTAAAGAATATTACAGTCAATTATCAAACTTTCGTATAATATATAATACTAATTTGTAATATTTTTCATATATATATAACACAAATTAATTTTACTTAATATGATTCATATATATAACTACTAATTTCCAACAAATTTCATATAATAAATTTCTTTCACACTTATTTTTATTTTAATATTTCATAAGAGGTTAAAAAATATGGAAATGGCTTCTGTAGGATTGGACCGTGCTGTTGGGCCCATGGAGACCCACCACGGGTCCCGTTTTGATAATCTGAACCATTCAATGTGTAGAACTCGTCGAGTACTATATGATTAAAAAAAATCACGTTGATTGGATATCGATAGCTATGTGATCAAAACAGATTTTTGTCAACCGTTAATTTATTCACCGTCCATTTTTTTATACAAAACTGATTTGATCACATAACTATCGATATGCGATTAACGTGTTTTTTTATAGGCATATAGTACTCGACGAGTTCTACACATTGAACGGTTCAAATTATCAAAACGAGACCCGTGGTGGGCCTCTATGGGCTCAACAGCACAGTCCAGTCCGATTAAGGACTGGACAGAAGCCATGCCCAAAAAATATATATGCATTAATTATAGTAAAATGAAATAATTTCAAAAGCAAATTATAAAGTGCTACAGATTTAACGGATTGAGCTTAAATGTCAATGGAATGGGATAAATTTATAACTGACCTTGGGGCTCTGGCCTTTGGCAAGTTCGCCATACAACGCACTATTTTTCCTGAATAAAAAAAAAAAAAATATATATATATATATAGAGAGAGAGAGAGAGAAACCCATGAACCCAATAAATGACTTCATAAATAAGGTGATATATGTAACCTGGCAAGGTCCAATTCTCCAAATTTCATGAGCAATGCCCCTTTCTTAGTAAATGGTGATACAATTGTGGTCAGTCCCACAATGTCATTTAATGGCTTTCGCCCATGTTTGTTGTTGATTCAGGTCCTTGTTTGGTACTTTATAGTTTGTAAATGAGAATATAAGTTGATATTTTTAATGACAAATATTAAGGTTTCGTTTGGGAAGCTCAACTTGAGATTTTTTTAGGTATTTTAGTCACAAAAAATAAAATAAGCTTTTTAATTTAATAAGACAAAACATCACATCTAACCCATAATTATTACATTTTTTCTCTCACAAAAAAGTCAAAAAAATCAAAAAAAAGCAAAAAGTCTTTTTCAAATCATGTTTTTTAGCCCCAGGCTAAAAATTCAAAAAATCAACCTACTTTCCAAACGAATCCTAAATTCACAATTATTATGATGGTATTAGATAACGGTGATGCTACATGCACTAACTAATATACTAATTAGTGTACTAACACTAGTTATAATATTATTATTGACCCACTAATTAATTACATTACAAATATCAAAAATCTCTTAAATTATATCACATTATCAATTAGTATACTAATTAGTACATTAATTAATACATATAACATTATTCATTAGATTTTCCATCTCTCACAATGATGGAAGAAAATATTCAATGGTGAAGTGAAAGTGAAGGGTCCGGGGAGAGTTACAGATTCAGCTATTAAAGCTACTAATTTTAATGCTCTATTTAATTTCTAGATGATATGAAGGAAAATGAGAATGGAATTTTTTTTTTTTAAATGAAAAAGAAAAATTAAGAGAAAACAGGATCTATTTTTGGAAAAGTTTTAATTTGCTAAAGTTTCAACTAAAAAGATGAAATGATTGAAAAAATAAATTACATAATATATTTTAGATGCAGCATATAGCATGTATTACACTTCCAATGAAATTCACACATTTCATAATTTAGAATATTTTTCTCGAACATGCGTGTTTTTTTTTTATTTATAATTTTAATAAATCTTGTTAACATGTGTTCTTAAGTTAATCACAAAGATTTGACCTAATAATCAAGACTTTCAATTTAAGAGTGTGTTCCTTCTAAGATCTCGAGCTCGAAATTTTCTGGGTGCAAAAAAAAATCTTTGAACCCGTCCATACCTAAACATATTATTAATAAAGTGTAAAATAATTAAACATTTTAAAAAAAAAATATTTCAAATTTGTTAATTGAGTCATAAAGTGAATCATTAACTAAAATCCTTTTGTTCTTTACTTTTTCAGCTCCAAACAGAGTCTTACACATATTTTCATTTCTGATTTCCACCCTTTTTACGTGATTTCAAAGCAGAAAATGCAAATGAGAAGTCTAAGGAGCATATACTGGGAATCTCCCAGATTATCGGTGGCAAACAGAAGATTCCAAATACTTTTATAAGTACAAATTACGTACTCGAATTTCTCTGTCTTGAAATGAGCGAAACCGGTTTTGATTCTCTCTACCGGATTGAATGATTTCGCAGCAGTCGCCTCCAGCTCCGCTGTAATTTGCTTGATCTTCGCCGCCGCAACTGGCTCTAGATCACCTTTCTCACTGCACAGAAAAGAGAAAAAAAATTAAATGAAACTTTAAAAGTAATTACAAATTTATGATTTCAATTATCAATATTTATAAAATTTATTATTAATTTATAATTATTTTTTTAAATATTACTCATTGATTTTTTATTTTAATGTCAGTCCGTGTGGGACCCACTGAGGGTGACGTATGGTATGGAAATCGAAAGGACATCTGTATGACACACGTCACTCCACTATTCGTTGCAATTCATGCGAGCGTTGAGATCCAATCCTCTAAAAAAATCAATTTCATTTCTGTGAAATAACAAAGGAGGACAGAATTTATGAGATAATTACGTAGATAAACCATGGTTGACTGTTAGAGGCCCAGTGGCTCTTTTCAGATGTGAATCCCGATGGACAGAGAGACAGAGACAGAGACAGAGACAGAGACAGAGAGAGACACAACAGTACCTGAGAAGCTTCTTAAGTCCAGCAATGGCTTCCTCGTATGAATCTGTCGCCATGTCCTCTTCCTCTCTCTGCCAATTTCACAAAATTCAATTAAAAAAATTACTCCTACGATCATATAGATGCATATATGTGTGTGTGCATATATATATAGAGAGAGAAAGAGAGATGTAAAAAAAATTCATCAATGAACGATATCTGCAAACGGATCGATTCCGAAGACTCAAAAACTGAGACCAGAGCCCGATCAGACTACACTTTCTAGGAAAATTCTCTCTCTCTCTCTCGAATTAACTCAACGAACACGGCAGAACAACAAAATCACTTCCAAATTACTCAATTAACAAAATGAATTCATCAAAGAATTTGAATACGAAAGTCGCAGCAAAAAGACAGAAACAATTACCCCAAAAAAACAAAATCACTTTAAAAAACTCAATTCTCTGATGAATTCATCGAACACTAACTGAATTTTAATTCAAAAACCACCAGAAAAATCAATCGTTTTGTGGATGAAATAATTGGATCTTAGAAAGATCCATGAAAAAAGCTGGTTAAAACAGCACCTGTACAGACCTTTTTTGTTTGGTTCCTAAGAAATTTTTTCCGACTCTGACCACTGTTTGGAGAATAATCCACCTAACTCACACAAACACAAACTATATATATATATACAAATATATAGATAGATGGTCCTAACCATGGTTAACTTGATTGATCGGACAGTTTATCAACGGTTTATCCAAAAATAGAAAACAAAAATGAACGCGTTTACAGGGGCAAAGTTATGGGGTGTGGAGGGGTGTAGGATAATATGGTGAGAGTGAGGTAATGGACGGTGATGGTAGTGGGTGTCATGTTGCAATCAAATAATTGAGAGTGCCAAGAGATGTAGATCACGAGGAGATAATGATCGGACGGTGTAGGACCAGTTCAGACAGAGGGCTGGTTTAGTAAACGGTTGAGATAAGCGTGCGGGTGCTTCGGTCAGCTAAGACGACCCATGATACGGGCATGAGAGCATGGGTCCGTTGAATTAAGGGAGGCGTTAACTTGTGTGCGGAAGGACTTGATTAGTTTAATTACTCCCTGTTCCAAAATAATGATCTTTTTTAGGGGATTTAACTTTTTTTAGTAGTATAATTATTATATTTAAAAAAATTAATTTTTCAAAATTATCATTTGATAGTATATTTTTTAGAAAATATTAATACCATAATAGTACTTTTTATGTTAATGAATTTAAAAGAATGACGAAATGGGAAATTTATATTATTTTTGTACTTAATTTTTGAAAAGAGACTAATATTTTGGAACTGAGAGAGAACTATTTAGGAATTATTTGAAATTATTTAAATAAGTGTACTTGTTTATGTTTTTTATGTAAAAATATATAAAAAAACATAGAGATGATGTGCTATTTTAGTGCACCACAAACAAGGTCTTAGGTCTTGTTTGGCATATATTACTTTAGCACATCTTTTTATTTGTGTTATATTACATTTTATTTGGGTCACATCATCTATCTACACATTGTACATCTTTTTGTAAAAATTCAAAAAATATATTTATTTAGATTATCTCAAATAACTCTTATGTTGTGTTTGGTTGGGGAATTTGGAAAAGGAAAAGAAAAATGAAAAAGGTATGTGAAATGTGAATAAAATATACCTATATTTCACATAGTTTCACACACTTTTTTCCTTTTCATTTTTAAATTCCTCCTTAAATCTCTTAACAAAACACATCGTTAGATTTATTCAACCCAAAAAAAAGCTTTTAGATAATAATTTGATAAAGCCAATATATATATATATATATATATTGAAGTTCCATTATAGTCCTTTCATTGGTATATTATAATATTATTAAATTTTTGTCAAATATGTCATTTTTAAAATGTGATAATGTGAGATTATTTTAATGTGTGCACAAGTCTTATTAAATTTTTGCTAAATGTGACAATGAGACATTTGTACATTATTATGCTATTAATTTTTTTTCAAATGTGTCATTCTTAAAATGTGACAATGAAACATTATTTTAATATTTATACTAATGTCTTATTAAGCTTTTGTTAAATGCGTCGTTCTTCTTAAAATGTGACAATGAAACATTTGTACACTATTGTCGTATTAAACTTTTGACAAATGTATCATTATTAAAATGTGACAATGGGATATCATTATAATGTGTACACTATTATCTTATTACGTTTTCAAATGTGGATATGCTTCATTTGAAAAAAAAAAATTAATGTGAAATAGGATTTATGGATTTATAAGATTATTAATGAAATTAAAATGGTCTATATATGTCCCAAAAAAAGTAAGGGAAATATTAATAATATATATATATATATTGTTTTCTTTTCTCTTTTCAAATTCAAGATCCAAATACAGTCCCAATGATGATTAGTAGGAAAATAATGATAATTATAGAGAATTTATTTACAAAATTTCTTGAAATGAATCATTACAAGTATGAAAAAATTTTAATCACTAGAATTTGGAAGGAAAAAAATGACGGGCTTAAAAATTATCTGAATATAAAATGTATGGTGGTGTTCAATTAAATAGTGTGATTACAAGTTGCACTCTGAATGAATTTAATTCATACACTGTATTTTCAAATAATTTTTTCAAAATTCGTAACATTATTATTAGAATTTTTATATAATTTTTTTAAAATAATAATGTACGGTGTTCAAATCTTTAAAAAAAAAAAATGTACGATGTCATATTTATAAATGTAATCATACCAATAGACTTTGTGTCTTTCAATGAAACAACTGTAATAGCTTTCATCATTTTGTATTATTTTTCATTTGTATAAATATTTTTTACTTTTGTTAAAAAGTATATCGAGGGGAAAAAAATTGTTGGTGATGGGGAATCAAAGTGAAAGGTAGGTTTAGTAAGGTATTGTACTTTGAAAAATAACATTAAAATTGAAATATAAATATATATATTATCATTTAAAATTTGATGTTATGTAGTATATTCGCATAAAATCTTAATCAATCTAACTTTTGTTTCTTTCCCTCCAAATTAGTGGGGAATACAGCAACTTATTTGTCACGAAATGCACTTGCTTTCATAGCGCCCAGCGCTCTATTTTAAGGGACCGTATACAAATTTTCTAGCATTATTTTATTTATGTGAATGCATGGCCAAAATCCAAAACCCAACATTATCACTATATTAAGGAGCCATATACAAATTTTTTAGAAATTATTTTATTTACATGAATAAGTACTGCTAAAAATTTATAATTTAAATATTTAAATTAATCAATAATAATGTAATAAGAGAGTCAGACTTTATATGATTGAGTGTGTCAAAAATCAATATTTAGATTTGTCAATAAATAAATTTATTATAAGTATAATTATATTATATAAATTTATGGGAAATTATGTCCCAGTAAGAGAAAAAAAATTCACACAAATATAGAAAGATGTAAGTCACACTTGTATTCTTACAATTTTTTACTTGCATCTCATTATAAAATCACTTACACCTAAAATATCCAGTCCAGACGAGCAGAGGAATAAATCGTTGTGTCTCTTTGTCTTG